GGGGGGGGGGGAAGATATTGTCAGGCTGGAGACCTCCCTTGCTATTTGCTTCTTTTAATTGCTTTTCCTGCCATATTTTCAGTGCAGAAGACACTTAGCAGGAGATGGTCCCTGGAGGAAGGGCTGATGTGTGAGAGGAGCTTGGTCAGCCCTGGGGCTCTGCTGCAGCCTGGTCACAGCCTCACCCATCCCCAGTCTGCAGGAGTCAGCAGCTCCTCCTCAGCCCAGCCCAAACCCTCTGGAAAACAACAGGAAAACTGTGCACTGACCCTGGCACCTTGGCATCAAAACACTGTGCTGATTTCGGCAGGAATGGTGTTTTGTGCAAAAACAACAGAGGAAATCTCCCCGGGGCATTGCTCCTGGCGAGGGAGCTGCACCCCTGCTAGCTCCAGGGTGTGCCAGGGGAATCCAAACCTCTCCTGCAGGAGAGCCTGGCTGGCTGAACGTGGCAGGGGGAACTGGGCAGGTTCAGAAGGGGCTCCCCCACAGGCTGGACATCCCTGAGCTGAGCCTGTGCAGTTTTAGAGCCCACAGCAGAAGCTGCAGCAGCAAACCCCATGCTCCAAGGCCGTCTCAGTGCTGCTCAGGGATGTGGCTGAAGGCAGGAAGGGGTGATGCTGTGTGGCCCTGCTCCTGCCCACAGCATTGCAGCGGGCTGCTCCTGGCACAGCTGAGGGGACAAGGTCTGGGTGGGCCTCAGGCAGCAGGGCTGAGCTTCATGGTCCTTCCAACCCAAACCATTCTGACACTCTGTCTTAGAATATCTCCAACTGGAAAGCACCAACCATGATAACCAAAGTCCAGCTCAGAAGTTGGACTCCAAAGTCCAACTATAATTCCTCCTGCTCCAAAAGGCACGAATAAATCCAAGAGGTCTCTGTTACAGGAGAAGGACAATGGGGTTAATGCAGATTTGGCTGCAGAGCCTGAGCATCCTCTGAGCAGCTCCAGCACAGCTCCTGGCGGTGCAAGGACACCAAGGCCTTGGGCAGGGCAGGGACCTGCAGGGTTTGCTCTGCCATGGGCTGCATTTTGAACACTCACCACTTCACTGATGCCAGGCAGAGCCCGGTGTGCAAAGAGCTGTGGCAGGAGCTCAGGGTGACAGGAGCAGCCCTGAGCCCCTGCCCACGGCGGTAGGGATGGGCATTGCTGGGGCTCCTGCAGCCCCTCACCGCACGGCCCACGCTGGAAGGGGAAGGAGCTGCCCCACGGAGGGGATGGGATAAAGCTCTGGAGCTCAGGACAACCAGAGGCCCCTTCTGGGGTGCCACGCCCTGGCCATCCCCTCCTGCTCCCCCGGGACCCCCGCCCGTGCCAGCCAATGGCCCCGCTGCAGGGGCCGGCCAGGGGCTGGCCCAGGGCATAAAACCCGGCCCAGGCTCTGGGCTCAGCTCAGCTCTGTGAACTCCTGCAGCCACCATGGTGCACTGGTCAGCCGAGGAGAAGCAGCTCATCAGCAGCCTCTGGGCCAAGGTCAACGTGGAGGAATGCGGCGCCGAGGCCCTGGCCAGGTGGGTGCAGCTCCAGAAGTGTAGTCGTGATATTTTCTGAGAAATCTTTTTGTCAGGATTTTTCTCCTGAGAAGCAGAGGAGCTTCAAGAAAGAAATGCAAACAATAATTGTTTGCTGCTGTGGAAGGCAACAGGTGTATCTGTGATTGGTGCATGTTGGATGTTTCTAATTAATGGCCAGTCACAGACAGCTGGCTCAGACTCTCTGAGAGTCACAAGCTTTTGTTATCATTCCTCTCCTGTCCTTTCTACCCTTCTGATAGATCTTTTCTCTCTATTCTTTTAGTATAGTTTTAGTATATAATTTTAATAGAATGTATATCATAATACAATAAATCAGCCTTCTGAAACGTAGAGTCAAGTTTCTCGTCTCTTCCTCGTCCTGGCACCCTCGAACACAACCATGTAGAAGGGCCCTGCAGTGCAGGGAGCCACTGAGTCAGGCAGCTTCACCTGCCTGTGTCTCTCCCCAGGCTGCTGATCGTCTACCCCTGGACCCAGAGGTTCTTCTCTGACTTCGGGAACCTGTCCAGCCCCACGGCCATCATCGGCAACCCCAAGGTGCGTGCCCATGGCAAGAAGGTGCTGACCTCCTTCGGGGAAGCCGTCAAGAACCTGGACAACCTCAAGGGCACCTACTCCAAGCTGTCCGAGCTGCACTGCGACAAGCTGCACGTGGACCCCGAGAACTTCAGGGTGAGCTGTGTGAGCAGCCCCAGCCCTGCCCTGGCTGTGTGGGGACAGCCAGAGCTGGCTGCTGCTCTGTCCTGGGACGTTTTCTGCGGCTGCTGGGGAACAATCCCTGTGGAGTACCCAAGAGAGGTGATGGTTTGTACAAAGGTCTTAGCAACAGTCTCTGTGATTTTCTCCCTCAAAAGTCCCATTTTTAATGCCAGCACAGCACAAGGGAGGTGCAGGCATGGAGAGAACACCTGGAGTTCTGGTGTTACCTGCAGGAGGGATGGTTACCTGCAGGAGATCTGGCTGGGGGACAGCCCCAGGGGCAGGTGCAGCCTGGGCTGGAGGGGTCAGAGCAGAGGGGAGCTCAGCAGAGCATTTCAGCAAATCCAAGCTCCCACAGCCAGAACCAAGGAGCAGGGTCCTGCCTTGCCCAGCACGGGGCATGGCACATTCCCTCCTCCTCCTACACTTTTAATTTAAAAGGATCATTCTCTTCATTTATGTCTAAAGAAAGAAAAAAAAGTGTTTTTCAGGGTGGGTCTCAGGCCAAATCCAAATGCTTCAGCATTCGGAAAATGGGGAACTAGTTCGAGGTTCTTTCTTTCTGGTTTTGTTTTATTTTTAAGAATGAGACAAATATTGTTTTCCCAGAGCTGTCTGTGGAAAGACAGGATTCTGCTGTGGCAGGGAGCAGGGAGTGAGCCATGCCTGTAACCAGGGCTGAGGAGGAAGAGGAGGAGGAGTGTGCAGGGTGTGGGAGCCCTTCAGGAGGGCGATTCTGCCTCAGAGAGAAGTCAGGGGAGGAAACCTGTGGGCTGCAGGAGGGGTCTGGGGGGGAGAGGGACTGGGGAGGGGGGAAATCTGCACAGAAAAAGCAGGGACACACAAAGGAGAAGCCGGTGGTGGTGAGGGGGTTCCAGTGCCAGCAGAGCCTTGGTGCCAGCGGCTCTGGCAGCCCAGCCCCACCGGGACAGTTCTGCTCTGGGTGACCGGGGCTGGGGCTGGCCAGGGGCTCCATCAGCACTGACCTACATGTCCCTCTCTCCTCAGCTCCTTGGGGACATCCTCGTCGTCGTCCTGGCGTCCCACCTGGGCAGGGATTTCTTCCCTGTGTGCCAGTTTGCCTGGCAGAAGCTCGTGGGTGTGGTGGCCCACGCTCTGGCCCACAAGTACCACTGACCACCCCGGGGACAGCAGGAGCCCCGGGCCAGTGCCAGCCCCATGGGGACCCCTGACCCCGATAAACCCTCTGATAAAACTTCCAATACCCCTCCAATAAACCCTCCAATGAACCCGTCTGCCAGCTCCTGTGCAGTGTCCGTGCTGGGCAGGGAGGGGCTGGGCTGCTGTGGGTGACACCTGAGCTGGGGGCTGGGACAGCCCAGGACCCCCAAACCCTGCAGGGCTGGGGCAGCCTGGGGTTCCCCAGCTCTGCAGGGCTCAGAAGATGCTGCAGAGGGACTGGGGACAAGGGATGGAGGGACAGGAGCCAGGGAATGGCTGCCAGTGCCAGAGGGCAGGGCTGGATGGGACCTTGGCAATGAGGAATTGTTCCACTCTCTGCTGTTGTTGTGGACATTCCCTTCCTTTCTGTCCCAGGCAGCACCACGTGCAGCTCATTCATCAAAGGTTTGTGATGCTGTGGGAGAACAATCCATCATCCTGCTGGGCTGAGCTTCCCACCATTCCAGAGCTGCATTCAGAGGGACTCAGGAGTTTTCCATCTTTTCTAAATCAGACCTGAACCAAATCTGTGCTGATTGCAACTCCCCGCATCTTTTAGAGAATTCTTATTCAAATGTTAGTCAGGAGCAGGTGAACCAGGGGACTATCAGATGTAATTATTTTTATCTTGGCCTTATCCCCACACTTATCAAAATTGCTGGAGCAGAAGAAGTCCCCAGTTCACTTCTTAGCACAAGCCAAAAATACTCTTTGAGCAGCTCTGTGCTGCCCCTGCCGGGGTTATTTTTCATGTATTTATAGACATGATTTTACACCTCTCAAGGGAATTCTGTCAGGAGTGGCAGCAGTTCAGGAGCCCGAGCTGGTGGGGTTGGATTGCCATCACAACATCAGCTGCCCTTGGGATTTGTGTGCTGTGTTTGACACTGCTGCAGGGAGGGGGACTGGCACTGCCCTTGCTCTGATGTTTAAAAGATGCTTCATGGCTTTTCAGATGTTGTTTTCTCCAGGAACTGAGTGGAAATTCCCGACTTGCCCAGAAAATCTCTGCTCCTGCAGGGCCTGTTTCAGTTTTTGATGCCGTGCCATGCCTCAGAGGTATCTGGACAGAAAATCTCTTTGCTGTGGCACAAAGGGACCTGGCAGATTTCCTGGGATGCCCTTGATGCACATGGCCAGAGCAGAGGTGAGGCTGCAGGGGCAGCCTGGGAACGGGATCACAACTTTCTCCTCTCCCTGCCACAATCCGATGTCATGGCAACTGCAGCAGAGCTGCAAAGGCCCTCAGAAATAGCAGGGGGATGTTCAGAGATTTCTGATCCCTTGGTGGCTTTGGAGGAAGGAAGGTTGGAAGCCCCAGAGGGACTTGTCAGAGCTGATTTACCTCATCTTTCCTTTGTTCCACCCCCCTGCCTCCTCCCCCTCTGTCAGTGCCCTTCTAGCCCAAATTCTCTGCAGCAGAGACCCAGACACGTGCAGCAATCACATTTCTGAGCTGCTGCCGAGTTTCTCTTTCCCACCCCTGAGTCTTACCTGACTTGGGGTGAAGTGCAGGAGTCTCACTGCCTGCACACAGTGACCTCCGAGACCAGACCCTCCTGCTCTTTGACTTTGCTGGCAGTGTTTTATGGCATCTCCCTCTGATGCCTCAGCTTTGGCCTATCTGTTTTCACATTCTGTGCTGCTTTAGTGTGGGGTCTGAGCTTCACATTATCGGATGGTGAGGTCTGTGCACAGAGCAGGGACACAAAACAATTCCTGCTCCAGCTGGGCACCAAGGACAAATGATCCAAATCTCAGCCCAAGAGCACAAACCCCGTGGGCTGCAGAGAGAAAAACAAGCAGGATGGGAGTGCAGGGGCTGAGCTGGAATTGGACACTGAACTGCAATGTGCACATGGAGCAGAGCTGATCCCAGGGAGAGACCCCGGGAGCGCTCGTGCATTTTGGGACCATTTGGGTTCATCTTGGGGGCAGCCCTGGCTGGGCTCTGGTGCTGCCCAAGGTGCATCCATGGAGGAGATCCTTGGAATCAATCCCTGCTTTATTCTGTGACTCTGCCCAGCCTCTGCTCTGGCTCAGCCTCTCAAGGCATCCCCAGCACCTCTGTGCCCAGGTCAGCTGAGGGCTGCTGTGCAGACAGGGCACCCTGCTCCTCCTCCTCTTCAGCCCCCTCTCCACATGGTTCTGCCATGGGAAAACCTGGCTCTTGTCAAGCTCTTGTCAAGCCCTGGCTCTTGTCAAGCACGTGGAGAAGGGAGCGTGGGGCTCTTGCAGTGACCCAAATCCCAGAACCAGTGGCTGAAAAGCCCTGCGAGCTCGCGGAGCCCCGGCTGTGCCGATGCCCAGCAGGTCAGTGTGGCTGGGGTGCTGCCCCAGCTCCTCTGCAGCCTGGCTGGGGGCCCTGGGCAGCCCTGTGGCTGCAGGGTGGGACTTGTCCCAGCTCTTGCCCATTTTTGCCTAGACCAGAGCAGTGGGTGATGCACAGGATGAATAAATCATCCACTTATTTCTGGGGGGTGCTGCAGAGGATGAAGATGCTGAGCAGGTCCGAGTTTGCACGCCCAGATTCAAACACTAAAATCTGTATTTTCGTGTTGAAGGCCATTAGAGCACGCTGGAAAGCTGTCTGCTAATTGAACTTACCAAGCTAATGACTGAGCTGCCCAAGTGAGGAGTGGAGGCGCAGATGTCTGGAGCTCTGTCTGAGGCGTGGGGCAGGTGAAAATACACCAATTCCATTTCTCACAGCATGCTGATGAGTTCAGCCTCAGCTAAACAATGCCAAGTTCCCTGTTTGCACAGACAGATTGAGTCTGCCATGAACTTGGGGGCTGGAAAAGTTTAACTTCTCCCACTCCAGCCCCTAAAAAGAGCAGTGGGCAAGTCAGGAACTCCTTAGTGTCAGCTTGAGGGCTATTTATAGCCTGCTTTTAATTTTTTCCTTACAACCCCAAGGGCACTGTGAAAAATGCCTACTTTATGACTGGCTTTTTGCAAATATTAAAATGAATATTGTATGTGTTATGTTAGAAAGTTGTGCTGTATTAATTTTCTTAAGTAGTGTGTTAAATATAGTTTTGGGTTATAACATAATGTTAAAATAGAAACTGTGTATGTGGGATATTTTTTTAAAGAGAGGAATGAGGTACTCACACTGAGCAGCCACAGGACACCTAAATCTTTCAGAGAAAGAGAATTTATTGCCCCATTATCAGAATAAACTAATTTCTCAGCCATGAAGGAAGGCCCCATTAGGATTCAGAGGAAGAAGCTGACACTGACCAGACAGAATCCTGTGTTTGAATGGAATATATGCATCATGTATGAGATGTATGAATATGCAACAGCAAATATTGCTTTTAAGGGTTAATCCTCTGTTAATGTGGGTCCTTTTTCGGGTTTATTTTGCCCAGAAAAGGTATCTGGACTGTGTGTAACTCTTTGTTTTTATTGTCTCATATTGTCCTAATCCAAATGGTCCAAATTTTTATCCCTCTAATTATATTGCTATTTTTATAACCATTTTATTACTATTACACTTTTAAAGTTTTAGAAACAAGTGGTGGGCGTTTTTCACAGGCAGCGTTCTGCATTCCAGGCTGAGCCCTTGGAGCATCTCTGCTCTCTGTGGTTCGTGTTCCTCGGAGCCCAGCATTCCCCGAGGGCTCTGAGTGCTGGGCTGGCAGCTCTGGGCCCGGGCACGTCTCCTAATTTTCCCCACAGCTGCAGCTGCAAGAACAGCATTCCCGATAAGAATTACAGCTGCTGTGTGTTTTCCTAATAAATATCTGCTGAATGCCTGGCACTGGGAGCAGCTAGCGCTACAGCACGGGCAGCAGCAGCTGGAACGGTGAACGGGCTTGGGAACGAAGGGAAACAAAAAGCCCTGGATTTGCCAAAGCCTTGGACCTGTGAGAGCGAGCTGTGCCCTCGGGGCCAGCGGGGTGACAGCGAGTTCTGGCAATTGCTGCACAGACCAGGGCAGGGACCGCTGCAGCCTTCGGCCTCACCTTCCCCGGCCCGAGCGAGGGGGGACACGCAGGCTGCAGCTGGGGACAGCAGGGACAGCGGGATCGTGGAATGGTTCGGGCTGGGGGGCACCTCAGAGCTCCCCTGTGCCCCCGGGCCGGGCTCGGGGCTCTGCCGGAGCGGCTCCAGCCGGAGGGGACCGGGATGCCCCAAATCCCACGAGGCGATGCTGCTAATGAATCCCTCGGCGGGAGGAATGGGACTCTGGGGTTGCTGCAGGATTTGTTTGGCTCTGCGTTGTCAGCAGGGAGTGAACTCCCGGAGCTCGCACAGGGCAGCTCTGCGCTGGTAACTGCTGCCCTCTGTGTCTTTATAGGGCTGTGAAAGCCTCGGTTCCACACGGAACGTGTGCTTCCTTCTGCTGCACCCCAAGACCCCCGGAGCCCCGGGGCTGCGGGCAGCGCCGGGATCACCGGTGCCACGGGCTCAGGGAAGGAGCTGGAGCGCCGCTCGCCCTCTCAGCACCCTCCTTGGGCGCTGCTGCTGCTGCGTGTGACACACCTGCTCTTGTGGAGATCGCCCATGGGGAGTTCTCAAACTGGGGCTCAGCCCCACGACCCTCGGAAGGGTCTCAGCCTGTTCCTCGTTCTCCCAGTGCAGCCTCTGGTCAAGCTGCAGATCCCAGAGAACATCCCAGAGAACATCCCACAGCAGATCCCAGAGAACATCCCACAGCTGATCCCAGAGAACATCCCACAGCTGATCCCACAGATGATCCCAGAGAACATCCCACAGCACAGCCCACAGCTGATCCCAGAGAACATCCCACAGCTGATCCCACAGATGATCCCAGAGAACATCCCACAGCACATCCCACAGCAGATCCCAGAGAACATCCCACAGCACATCCCACAGCAGATCCCAGAGAACATCCCACAGCACATCTCACAGCAGATCCCACAGCTGATCCCACAGCTGATCCCAGAGAACATCCCACAGCTGATCCCACAGATGATCCCAGAGAACATCCCACAGCACATCCCACAGCTGATCCCAGAGAACATCCCACAGCTGATCCCACAGATGATCCCAGAGAACATCCCACAGCACAGCCCACAGCTGATCCCAGAGAACATCCCACAGCTGATCCCACAGATGATCCCAGA